TATCTCTCTCCTAGCAAAAAAAAAAGTGTACCTTAGATTTTGGTCATAAATCTCCTTATATGTTCAATGGCTTTTGTTCACCTTAGTTGAATGTTTTCTAGTTGCCCCCCCTTTGAGAGATAGGGACTAGGACTGTGCATCGTACTCAAGGTTGTGCATACCTTAAGCTTACATGGTAGAATTATGTTCTTCCTTTTCTCACAGGAATGCTCTAAATATTTGCTTTTCTTTTTATAACTAAAAAACATTCAACTGACGTTTTCATAGAACAGTTTCTCATAACACCAAGATTGCATCTGTGAGAGGCAATGGTCAACCCCAAACTCATCCTTAAATTAGGATAGTCCCCATGTGCTGTTCTGTAGTCCACTTGCTTAATCTTTGCAATTCTTCAGGATACCCTTGCCCTTGTTACTAAGAATAAGTTAGTATCATCCAGAAGCTTTTTTTTACTACTCACCCCTTTATCCACGTTAGTTATTGGTGGAATGAGTATTGCAATTCCAGCACACATTCCAGCAGATCTTCTGGTCACGTTTATTTTTGCAGTGGTGTCAGGGTTTGGGGCTAGGCTGGCCACTAAATGACAGGCTCTCTGTTAACCCTTCTCCCTGCCCCCAGAAGGTGGAGGGAGAGGGAGAGAGAGAAGGGAGAGACTTATGGGTTGGAAAAGAAAACTAATGACAACTACATCACCAGAGAATCTGTGGAACAAGGTACTGTGTAAGTCCCAGGCCAGACTGAGCAGCAGATGGGAGCTGGATTTGGAAATGCACAGGTTGGGATCAAAGGCAGACAAACTGATAAGAGTCCTGCTTGGACACTGACCATTACAGAAGAAGAATTTGACCCTCGTTATCCCTTAGCTTTGTACTGAGTATGATGTATATGGGATGGAGTACTTTGTTGATCAGTTTTGGGTCATCTGTCCTGTCCACTCCTTCCCCCAGGTGCAACATCTCACAACAGGATGTGGCAGTGGCCGTGGCCTTGGTCTCCATATGAGCAAGTATTAACAAGGGCTGTATTTGCATTCCATTCTAGTAGTAATTAAAAACATCAAGCACTATCACTTGTAGAAGCAAATACTGTCTGGGAAAACATGCCCTTAGTTTTAGAAAGTATAGTCATTTAGAAGAGACTTCACTGGAAAGTAAAGTCACTGAATGGAGAATTACTTCTGTTTAGCTCAAACAAGGACACCATACTATATCCAGGTGGAGTCTCTTTTTAAATAGTAATTATCAAGCAAAATGTGAATAGAGGTAAGCTAAAACGGCCTAGTAAGGCAGAAGGATAACATTTTCATGCTTATGTTCACATGTTATCTGAGAAATGGTTCTGTGATTGACAAAGCAAATTTGTCCACAGAGCCCCAGTTCAAGACCTTAGTAAATAAGTTGTTTAATTTCTCAGATTACTGAAGTAGAAGAAAGTCCAAGACTTCAGCCATTGCATATATGTATGTGTATACATAGTATATATGTACATGTATACATAGCTGTTGAAAGGAAACAGGAGCCTTTTTAGTGCACAGTTTAGAGGATTGCAACTGTAGAACTCTGAATTTAAAACAGCGAAATCAGAAGCTCAAGAGTAGTGTTTCTGCTGAGCCCCATTACCCTCAGTTTTCATGGAACAGATTTAATGCTTGGAGCTGTGGTACCCTTGGGTTGTAACCTTTACTCAGGACTTGTATGCTTATGTGTAGTACTTGCATCTCTTGGTGTATTTCACAGGTACAAATCTCTAAGGCAGGGCTAGAGAGGGAATGACGTGCTGCAGATGAGTTTCATGGAAATCTGTCTTTTAAACTGTTGGTGTTTGCTAGGCCCTGAAACTGTCACTCCATGTTCCTTGCTGAAAAGTCCCTTTCCTTCAGAACCATGCAGTGTTCCCCTTTAGGCGAGTTGTCCACGTCTGGTATGCAGGATGTTTAATGCGTGCCTCCTCATTTCATTTTCTGATAGAGTCCACTGGAGCTGTATTTTAGACTTGCTGTCTTTGCTTTTCTTACTAGCCTGAAGGCAGAAAGGATGCAGGAGGTTAGGACATACTACTCTTCTTTCCTGCTGTTTGAGGTAGAATGGTGGAAAACCTGTGGCTTCTATTTATTCTCAGGAAGTTTTGTTATTTTTTGGCTGTCCCAAAAATTGACTGTATAATTTCTAAACTCTTGTATGCTTTAGGTACAAAATAAGACTATTGGCATTAATACCTATGGTCTTTTTTTTTTTCCTAAAACTGACTATTTCTGAAGAGATGGCCAGGTTAGGTTACCCTATCTGGGTTACTAAAAATGAAACAAAACTCTTGTGGTGCTGCTGTATTTTTATTGCTTTATGGTGTTCACCCAAAAATGACTTTGGTCCCAGATCTTCCATTTGATGACTTAGCATAGCTCAGTTATCTGGTTCCCTTGTCATTGCTCACCAAAGTGGTTCATTCTTTCTGTGATACTTTTCTTACCATATTTTGTGCCACTGTGTGTGTCACAGATTCTTCTGGCAGCAGAAGCACTTGTGTTCCCATGCTGCTGGCAGTGCCCATGTTGCCAGCATCCTCTGCATTTCTGGTGTGCTGATAGAAAGCATGTCTGCTTCACTACTCATCGTTGGTACTGCTGAGGGGGCAATCCAAGTGTGGTAAAACAATATGCAGTTGCTGCATTTTATAAAGGCCTTGGTCTTTGAAGACAATATTTGTAAGAGAAGCCAAAAACTTTGCGTACTTTTATTATGAGGGGCAGGGCAGAAGTGCAGAAAGGCAGTGTGTGTGCCAGTAAGTAAGGTATAAGTTAAGAACATCAAAACCGAACTTAAGTCAGGCATGGCTGAGTTGTAAGCCACAGGTTGTGTGTGTATCCTATGGAAACAGCAAATCCAACCTGTGACCAGCTGCCTTCTGTGTCTGTGGGCTCTGTGTTCCTCACCCATTGTTTGATGGGTAAATGAACAGATGTTGAGACAGACATGGAGAAAATACTCTTACCCTGTCAGAGTGATCAAATGCTAGAGCAGGTTGCTAAAAAACGGTGGGGTCTCTGTCCTTGAAGATATCTAAAGGCCTAGAGCCAGAGAACCTTGACCAACCTACTGCTTTGACCCTCCTCTGAGCAGCAGCCTTGGATTGGGTGATCAACAGAGGTCTCTTCAACCTCAAGTGTTCAGCTGTTCTGTCATATCCAAGAACTGTGTGGTCTGGGTTACCTGCCCAGAAAAAGCAGATACCTTTAGCTTCTTCATTCAAAAGATGCTCTTTCTGAATACCTGGATATTGAAGAGGTAAGTTCTGATGAAGAGGAGTGTTAACTTAAGCTTTCTCTACCGATAACTGTATTGTTGCTTGGAATATGGAGGAAGAAAACCTTCCAAATAAAGGTCAACAAATAAAAGAAATAAAGATTGAATGTGGTCTTTTTTTACTCCTTAATAATTGCTTCAAGCTTCTCATTCAGAGGTTGTATACCACGTTGGATTCAACATGAAGTTGACTACATTTCAAATTTACAAATTGGTGATCCATATTTATTCTCTGGGTAAGCTATGTAACCAGATGGACAGCTGCCTTAAAGGAAATTTAAAATACTTGTTAATTATTTTATTTTCTTCCAAAAGTAGTGAGCAGATTAACGTACAACTGAACTTTTAAAAAATTTAGTTATTAATAGCCTAGCAGTGGTAGATAGAGTTTTTGTCCAAAAGCTTTAGAAAATGTTGAGTCAGTTGATTAAAATATCTTCTAGAGTCAGTGGAGGACCTGACAGCTCTTTCTAAGTAGTTGGAAGAGATGGCTCTCAAATTTCCTTTTGTACTAGTTGCTGTGTTATTGCTTGAACCTAAGAGTGTATTAAGATGTAGTTTTGGCTGGATATTCATATACATTGTAATAGGCACTTGTGAAAACCCTCTGAAAGTAAGAGTTTTATTGATGAAAGATTGTCAATCTTGGGAACTTTGGATACATCCAGTACAATTTTAGGGGAAATGCAGGATAGAGGTGCTTTAACAATACCTTGATGCAAGAGTCTGGTGCAATAAACATCTGAAGAAAAGTACAAAGATTAGTGTCTACAGAGCCATTGTACTGTCTACTCTTTTATACGGGTCCAAATCATGGGTCATCTAGTGCCACCACCTGCGGACTCCTCGAATGCTTCCATCAGTGCTGCCTCCGTACAATCCTAAACATCCACTGGACTGACTACGTGACTAATGTCACTGTCCTTGAACAGGCAGGGGTCACCAGTATTGAGGCCATGCTGGCGAGGACGCAGCTGTGCTGGGCAGGGCATGTCTCCAGGATGGAGGGTTACTGCCTCCTTAAGAGTGTGCTCTGTGGTGAGCTCGCCACCAGCTGCCGCAACAGAGGAGCCCCAAAGAGGAGATACAAGGACTCCCTGAACAATACCTCAGTTTTGGCCATATTGACTACCATCGGTGATCCACTTTGTCCTCCAATCGGGAGACATGGAGACACACCATTCATGACGCTGCTGCCTCCTTTGAGAATGCATGTAGAATCAGTCTCGAGGAGAAAAGACAATGCAGAAAGAACCGTGCCTTGCCAATACCGCCTAAGGAGACTTTCCGCTGTGCCCTTTGCAGCCAGACTTGCCTGTCCCGCATTGGCCTTTTTAGCCATCAGGGCGTTTGCAGCAAGCGTGGGCAGTGTCCTTCCCTTATCTTCGTTCATGAAGCCTAGCCATGATGATGCATTGTTAGCAAGATTAATTCAAATGCCCAAGGATGTATTATGCCTTTGCTTTTCAAGGCTGTTTAATACCTATTTTAAAAACCATAGGAGAGACTGACTATTGTTAAGGGCTTTACCAATAAAATGAGAAGTCATTTTGACTAGAGGAAAAGCATTCCTCTCCCACCTGTCCTTGTCTCCCTATAATCCCATATCAACAGATGATGGCTGAAGTGGTCTTGTGGTTTAATGGGGAACCATGATCTGGAGTGAGAAGAAACAGAGGACTCCTATCAGCTTCTCAGACTCTGAACCTCTTTCCAAAAAAGAATTCCAAAGCTAAAATCACTACAATTCCTATTTCACTGCAAAGCTTTACCCTGAGCACCATGTAATGTATTTAGTGCTGCATGCTCGGGGTCTGCAGGGCATTGCAGGGGCAGGGTTCCAGTTCTGTGGCACAGCAAATCCACTTGTGTGAAAGCAAGCTCCTTGGGAGAGAACGACAAATAAAAAAAAGACCTGATTTATCCACAGCTTGCTCATTAGGAATATGTTGCCTCTTTTGAGTACAGTAATGATCTCGTATTCTGACTATTGTTAGCCCTTTTTTCTTGCCCTCTGCAAACAATTTCTTCCTAAAAAGATAGGTATTTTCTTTGATGCAAACTCATGTTGTCTGTCAATAAACTAGGAAGTCTGGTTCTCCTGGATACACCAGGAATATAGATTTCTTACTTGGGATGCTGTCTTGGTAGTGGCGTTATGCCTAAGCCGGGAGTGATGATGTCTGTGTGCCTTCTTCCTCCCAAGTAGCTGCCTGTTCTGGAATTCCACAAGTTAATACATGTTAACGATGAAGTGTGACAGAGGAAGTGCCTCGAGATAGCTTCAAATAATTTGAATAGTCTGGACTTCAGCCTCAATTTGGGAAGGATTAGATTTTATCTTTGTTCTGGACAGAATTATAAACAATCATCTTTTTAGTGCTCTGTTTCCTTTTGGGGTTGTTAATCAAATGAGACCATTGTCATCCCGCGATAGGAAAGAAATTAATAAGATGTTTTTTCTTTGATATGGTTTAATCAACTATAATTAGATTTGATCCAGAGTTGTTCAGATGCATGTGTATAAACGCGATGGCTGCTTAGCATCATGTACTGGTTTGGTATTTGTCTGAAGAGGTCCCCCTGTGCAGCACAGCTGTTTCAGGACATTGTTTCCAGGCACTCCTTAGCTTGCTTAGGTGTGTGGTGTTTACCTATCCAAAGGGCTTAATTTTTGCCTATGCCACTTGCCCTGGTAGATAGTTAGTGGTTTGTTTATTTCTTTTTTTACCAAATTCCTTGGTGCTATTGTCGGACTGTTGTCAAAAATGTGACTCCTGCAGCTGTTACTGGAAGGCAGCTCCAAAACCTCAGTTCTTTGGTTATTATACTACACCTTTAGTTTCTGGCCTCATCAGTTTTTATTTGACCTTAAGCCAACTTTTCAATTTATTGTGCACAACTCTTTTTCTTTCCTCCACAAAGTCTTCCCCTAAGGGTTTTTGGGAGCTCTTTGACATGGTAAGGTGAAGGTATTGGCTGTTCTTGGAAGGTGCAGTGGGTGGGGGAAGGAAGGGGTCATCTGACACTTGCAGGGGCTGGACAGTGGCAGGTTTGAGCACTGGAGCATTGTGGCACAGAGTGGCACAGATTTTTTTTAAAGACAAGGCACAGCAGCTTGTTAAAAGCATCCTAACAAAATCCTTAAAAGAAGTCATATCCTTTTAGGCTTAGTTTTACAGGATTAAGTAAACCAAGTTCTGTTAGACACCTTCTGTTTCTCTAAGAGCACTGGTAATCCATTTTCATGTTAGTTTTAGGTATTTCTGCAAGCAGCGTGGTCGGTGCAGACAGTTCTCAAACAGCACTGCCCTTTGGTTGTGCTGCAGAAACGATGGTGGGGCTGTCATACGGACTGGTGGTGGCTGAACTGAACAGTTGGCTTCATCTTGTACTTAGTGTCCAGCACATGTTTTCCTTGAGGCTTCTGATGCCTGATTTGTCCAAGTATCTTTTTTCATAAAAGCATCTCACTGTGGCTCAGAGTTGTCCAGTGACTGTTTGAAAGCCCCAGAACCCTTTCCTCCCTGTTGCAGTAGCAGAGCTCTTCAGCCCTCATTACTTAACTTAGTCTGTCTACTCTTTAACACCATCAGCTTTTTCAGTATGCAAGTTCTGTGTGGTAATGTATCTTGGCTTTGCATTAAACATTTTAATTTTAAGTACCAGCTTACAATTAGTTGTGGTGGATCTAGTTCTGAACCAGCAGAGATCTCCTGCAGTTTTTATCTTTAAAAAAATTGCAAAGGAGAAAATGACGGATTAGTTTGAATTCTACCAATATAGAGCCAATGTTGCATTTTAACTATTTTCGTTGCCTTCTGAAGTTTTCCTTCGCAGCGCTTTCTGAAGCCTTACACAAGTGAGGTGAAACTAAGTGTGCAGTTGCTTAACCAAATATTAGTCATATCCTTTTTCTTTTGAAAGCTTCACGTTTAGTACCCATTTCAAGTGTGTAGACAATCTTTGTAGGTCAGGAGAATTGCAAAATACCTGTGTGGTTTACCTGTTGCATGAAGTTGAGGCAAGTTTGGAAGCTTATTTTGAAGCCCTGTGGGAGTTGGATCAGATGCAAGGGATTGAATTTTTCTCCCTTTTCTCTATCTCTGCCTCTGTGGGAGTGATGGGACCACTAAACCAGTCTTCTCAAGGAAACCCATCAAGCTGTTCAGTGTTACATTGAGTTTCTGAGAAGATACAACGTATAGAATTAAGTAGCTCAGAATAAGTTGATACACTTTTTCTGGTTCTTGTTCCTTGTCTCTTCACACTTTACTATTTGTCTGCTTTATTCGTCCGCAGATGGTCCTGTACCATCTGTGTTTCTACTCTCCATTTCTACCGAAACAGCCAGGCTTTAAAACACTGTCTTGTGCTCACATCTGATTTGTATTAAATCTGAACTTGTGGTTGATCTCGTGCACGGTATTGGTGTTTATGGTCGTATTTCTCTGGCTTCAAATAGCTTGACTGTGAATTGAAGTTTCTAGATATTTCATTTGAATTGCTTGCTTACAAATTCAGGTAGGTGAGTGTGCACTGTAACTGCACATGCTCACATGCACTGTGTCTTCAGAACAGCAAAACAGAGGTCATCATTGTCTTCCACAATCACCTTTCAGTGATTTGCCAAAGAAGATTATTTCCATGTGTCATAACTACTCTTCTAGTTAAGATGAGGGCATCACCTTGTTAGTGCAAGGTTCAGTTTTTAGACTTTCTTAGGGTGTGGTTGATGTGTGCATTGAGTCAAAGGTGTTAATCTAATTCCTGCCTTTAGGTATTTCAAACATCTTTACAAATGGCAAATCTAGTCACTTTGTTTACCAGTGGTGTCTAAACAGATTGAGACAGAATGAAGATTTGTCTCAAATTTTTTTCTCCTTTAGTCTGAAAAGGCCAAATGGTGTTACTGTTTTGCTGGTGAGGTAACTACAGTGACCTTCTCACTTCAGAAGTGTTGCAGGTCAGACTGCATAGTAGTCTATGGATAGACAAGTTACTTAGAAGATACAAAGTGACCTCAGTCCTGTTTAACACACAGGTTCAGTGCTTACAGAAATTCTGCATGAGCTATTTGCTTTTCACCATATTTTTCTTAGCATAAAAGACTTATTTGACCAAGACTAACTTGGTCTTGAATAACTCTGAAATACAACCAAAACCCTTTAGCAGAGAGAACTTCCATGCCTTGTCATGGTGATGTTGTCTGTATAAATACAATTTCCTTCCAGCCCGGTCCTTGTCCTGGAAGGATGTGGGAGGAAATCTTGTTGGCTGGTTTGTTATTAATGCATATATTCTCTTGCCAAGGGCCCATATTACTGAGCTGCAGGGCTTACAAATAACTATTATCTTACACTCTTCCTTCCTTCTCCTCTTCAGCAGG